AAGGGGAGGCTGTGCAGAAGTATCATAGGGTCTCTGGAAAGTATATAGAAATCTCAAATTTCATAACTCTCATGTACTGTATAATGCAAGTAGTTTCAGATTTTTACTTCCTTACCAATGCTAGAATTTAGTCATTATAATTTATAATTTACAAATGGCTTGATGTTGAAAAACAAAAGATGATGAGAATACAAATAATCGTTTAATATGTTAGATTTATTATTTTCCTGAGCCAATTTATTGTTTGACCATGCCTCTGTTTCTCGGAGGTTTCAGATTCCGGCTGAATTTTTATGATGCCTCTGATTACATTCAAGCACATAAATATTTTCATTACATGGTGAACTTACCCCAGATTGTTCGACGCATTTTTTACACGACATGCCGCTGTATCTACTGCAGTTTGCTAGCGATTAAATGAATAAAATTAAACAGGGTTAAGTGATTATCGATTGAATATACTCGATGACAAACGAAACCCCTTCGGGGGAGCTTCGGTTATCATTAATGTCGTGCGTGAAAGGTTTCTTCCGCTTTCGGGAACCTCGCCGCTGTTGAACATAGTGTATTTTTAACAGACTGACCTTCTGACCTGAAGCAATATTTTAGCGCTGATGTCATTTACGAAACATAGAGATAAAAGATATTAAAAGGTTGGCTTGTACTGAACGGCGTAGTTAGCTAGAATATGTCTACAGAACTATATACACATGCAAATTTCTCATCTAACATCTGGGACCAAAAATTGTATCTGCAAACCAGCTTGCAAAATTTTAAGTTAGCTTCTGAGTGCATGCCTCGATTCGTAACGTGTAAGTGCATTGTTACTTGAAATATAAGGAAGTTTCAAATCCCCGCAAAATTCGTCAACAATTAAAGTTGCGTGTCTGTTCTTGAAAGGATTAACGCTTCCTGTCTTTCACAAGGGAAATTTACATCAGAGTGGTTTCTATTTTACCACAAGTCTCGCTAGTCCGATCGGAAGCATATTAACTTTATGCTGTTTTGGTTCAAAACGATACTTTTGTGATCTCTGCTGAGAATATCAGAATGTGATCGTGATAACACGAAATAGGAAATATGAAGGTGAAATGAGACACTTCTTGAGACACTTCACTACTTTCGTAATTAGCCGAGCAACACAATGTAACTTACCAGCTGCCGCTGTGCAAGGCCAGAAATGGATGAAACCTAGAAAAAACACAAGTACTAAAGGCGAGGAAAGGCTCCAATAAAAAGCCATTGCGTCTTGACGTCGCTGGTGACCAAAATGGCCACCGAATGAGTAGGGATCTCAACCTTTGATATCACTACGGCATCAAGTGAATCGAAATTAGATATTGACTTTCGACTGCCAGACGAGTCAGTGATAAGGGAGTGTAGGTACCGCCAAAAAATGAAAGAAAGAAGAAATGTGTATGTCACAAATCCTGAGTATTTAGAGCTTCAAACACCAAGGGGAAGACTGTTGAGGATATTATTTCCTTGATAAACGTCACAACTGTCGCGTGACATATCAGTGAGGATTTTAAACGTGTCACGAAATCATCGCGAATTTGAAAACATCTTGTTAATTTATTTCGTGTGGGTTTGTGTGGATACAATCGTTGAATATTTCAATAGTACGGAACTGAACTGAAAAAATTGTGTGTGTGCATGGGGGGGGGGGAGGGTGGGGGGTGGGTAGGCTCTTACCCTGATATTCTCTTAATTGAATAAAAACCAAAAGATGTTATCACAACTTGCAAAGCATTCTTCCGTAAATGACAGTGGGCTGTATTGAAGAAGGAGATTGTGACACCCTAACCTGTCCATTTTTCTTTCGCTTACAATTTTAATGTACAATTTACAATACTTTTGAAACCCCCACCTTTAGGGAAAAGCTTTTCGGGACCGTTAAGTTACCGGAACCTTCGAGAAACGAGCTCGAATCGAAATAGAATAGACTCCGGTAATTCTGATGGATTCTGATGCGCTTCATCTGATTTCAATCGATGTACAAATCATGGAATTCCGATGGATTCTATCGGACTAAATATTCATATTGGCTGTATAGGTGTGTGTAATACAACACGCGTCCCATTTGCTTTTACCGCTACAATTAGAATAATACATTACTCTGAAAGCAAGTCTTTCTTTTTTCATTCTGTATTGTTTGTTTATTACAGTTTTGGTTAAAGAAATAAAAGCTCCTTGCTCTAAACTCAGAAAAAACGTGATTAATACCGAGTGCAGTCGAACCTGTATTAAGCGGCACTTAATTAATCGTTTATGCTCTATTAAGCGGTGGGTTGTCAAAGTCCCGAAATTCTTTCCCTTAAAGAATATAGTTAATAGTATTAGCCACAGACTACAACATAAACCCAGTAAAAGGCCACAGTATATTTGATGATGGACGCCTTATCTTGAAAACAACCCAGTATCATTGCTTCATATTTAAAACTGTAAGGCTTAGTTCACAAATAGACGCCATGCGCGTAACAGCAGCGATAAATGTGTTACATGAACAATTTACGTTTCCGTATTTTTGATTATCTCTAGTGAAACAGGTTAGGAAACGGCCCCAGTTCGCAAGTTTTCATCCCATTTGGATCGGTTATGTCTGATTTCGATAGGAATGTTCTGTCTAATTTGAGGAAAATCCAATGTGCAAGTTTTAAACCTCCATAGACAGACATCGATATCTCCCTCTGTTTTCGAAAGATCCCTCCGATTTCAAATGATCACGCCGAGCATAGTTATGTTCCTTCTGTTTGCGGACAGTTTTACCCGATGTACAGTAGAAAGATTTCTCTGCTCTTGGACTTTACGACTTTGTTAAACTACATTTTGGAAAACTTTGTCTAAGTTTTAAAATGTTTAGAACCTAAGTACTAAGTACCTAATTATTGATCCTCCCCCAGAGAAAGTAATTTTAAAACAGACTTGGCTCCCAGCATTCCATGCACACATTACTGATATGAAAAATGGCGGAGCTGTCGCCAAAGCAACATTTAATTGATTTTCTTCCTTCTTTTATAGTTTGTAGGAATTTTTCCCTCTATTTTCCCCAGGAATTAGAAATTCGCAACTTCGTTATACCCCCATGGTAGCTGGTAGAGTCTCCCTCAACGTGGAGAGGGACTGAAGCCTACCGTTTGTCATGGAGTCATCGTGGAACTCGTTGAACCTTTGAGTACTTGAAGGTGAGTAACTTCGATGTCTTAAGTGAGTTGTGTAGAGAAAAAGTAGTTTCTAATGATAGATCATATTATTGTGTCTTAAAAAATGTGTATCCTACTTGGTGTGATGTTTTGATTGTAAGATATTTTGCTTCACTGTTTGTTTTGGTCAAATCCGCGGGAAGTTTAAAATCCTTGGAGGCCATGTTGACATCTGCTACTTCGTGTCAGGGGACGGAGAGGAGATGTATTAAGGAATGTGTGGCAAATGGATACCATGTATCTGCCAAATTTATGATGAACGTAAGGGTTGATAGTGTGAGAGCTTACGTGTATTGAGGGGGACGTAAACTGTTAAGTTTAAGTTAACTTTGAGTAAGAAGTAATGTATAGTGTTTCTTAGAATACTAACTTTGCATGAGATCGATGAAGAAAAAAGGTTTAGAACGTTCACCGGAGATAGTTAAAGATCAGCCGTTCAAATTCTTCTCTCTCTCTCTCTAAAAAAAACAAAATATGGAATATTTTATATTCATTTTAAAGCATACCTATAGCCTCTGAGTTCTTAATTTCATTTTATTTCAAAAGATTTAATTTCAGGCCGCCTAAAAAGCAAAACTTTCTATGAACTGAAATCGATAGCATTGATGTTAGTTGGTTTGGCCCTATTTTTTTTATCCTTGGTACTGATTACTCTTGATTGATCTTAGTAATTACTGTTTGATTAACTTTCAATTTTTCCTCACAATAACTACAGTTTATTTCACAAAAAGGGTAGAGGATGTTATCTTGATATCGCATTAGATCAAAGGGGGACCACCTTCTCAGAAGCATCCTATCACCCCAGACATTCTTCTTTGTATCTTGAAGCTTAACCTGCATTCCAGCTTTGACGCTTCTTTCTAGGCAATCTGTTTGGTCTCCTTTTTTGGAATGCTCCAGAAAAGCCATCTGTAAGCTTGTTCTGCACACTCCTTTGACTACTTCCAGCAACTCCTTTGCTTGGATATTCAAGTTTTTCATCAGGGGGTTCATGTGACTATCCCCTGAAGCAAAATCATTCTATTTTGAGAACAGATTGTACAAATCCCCTAAATGGGCCTTATACCAGGTTTCCCTCTTTTTCCAGTCACAGCTACCCATTGAGCCTGATCTTTCATCACTCTCCTATCATTACCCTCCCTTCCTAGGCTCTCAAACGGCAAGACCCTATTTCCCTTGGCTATATGGTCTTCACTTATTCCAAATTTATGCAACTCCTTGAGGACATCCTCACTTCTCTTGCTTTGCCAACCGAGGACTTGCCAGTCACTCCTTTAGGTGCAGGAGGGTTGTGGGGGGGTGCCTCCTTTGCCTTTCATTCTGGGGTGCATGTGGAACTCATTGAGATTCTTGGTGATTAGCACTCTGATACTCTGTACTCCTTTACCTTGGTTCCACTTTCTGTTCAATTAGAATCTGTAAATATCCTTGCTATTAATACAATCCTTTCTGCTAGTTAGTTTTTTCAATCAACCTTTTAAACCACAATCTCCAGCTTTATGGGCTTGGAGTATTATTTTATTATCAGCTTATATATATCCTATAAGAATTGTGCATTTGTGAAAATATTAGTTAATAAGTAATCTTATGACAATAAGGACTTTCCCTGTCCCAATCCTTGCTTAGTGTTTTATTTTGCAGTTTATGGGAAACAATATATCACCTACTTCTGGGTGATGTGCTTCTAAATTACAAACGTACCAAACTTAAGTTCAGATTGGCACAGTCATGCATCTTAATTGTGATCAAGATAGCCTGCTTAATACAAGTAATTTAACCTTAGCAGACTTGTCCTGCTTAAGTTAAGTTACCCTGTGAGGATAAGTACAAAGAGGTCATGATAGGCACTTTAGTTATGACTTAGTAAATTAGTTCAGTTGCTCTATTGCTCTGAGCTTACTAGCACTACATATACATAAACTGCATTTGGATTCTTAGAAGCTATTTTCTTCCCTCCCATCCCTCCAAGTATCTTATTTTGCTGGTCTTCATATCTGTCTTAGCTGTCTGGTTTTCTGTCAGACAGTCTAATTTGTTGTTGTTGTTTTTTTTAATTTAATATTACATTTTAGCATTTCATTATTAGCTTATAGATATCTTATAAGAATTGTGTATTTGTCAAGATGTTTGGATTTTGATTTTTGTGCCAGAATTAAAAAGGGTGTTTTTGATCTTTTTGAGCTTGACACAGTATTTCTTCAAAGCAGCACAATGTACTTGTACATGTGATAATTAAACCAGCAGCTAGTAGCTGTGATATAGGGAATTGAAAGAACTAGCATCAAATATCATTGGATGATTTCCTGTCTAGCATTTATGGCAGAGGGTGTATTGTATGGTTTCTGATTGGTTGTTGCCTTCTTAATGATAATAATAATAATAATAATAATAATAATAATTATAATAATAATAATAATCATAATAATAATGGTTATCCCCAGAAGTAATAGCCTTGCAGTCCTGTCTATATAAAACGTACATAATAGAAACAGGAACCCATGTACTAAATAGAGCGTAATTAGGAATGTTCACAATTGCATGAGGCATTTCGGTTAAGAGGTATGTTTCAGAGACAACACATTTATCAATATTTTGACTCCTAAGATCAGCTTCTAAGGCCACTGGAGTTCTCACTTGGTTTCTTGTTTTTGCCAGACTACATATGTTTGCAAAAAGAAATTTAGGAACAGCAAATTCAATAGATTTAGGCCTGCTAATAAACATGTTTTCTGGGCGGATGCATATTTAATTTCTCTTATCAACCTGTACATGCCAGATGACAAAAGACAAATTGAATCAGATACCCTTAATTTGCAGGAGTGGCAGGAAAATTGGCACAGTTAAGGACATGAGGTTGGGTGGGGGACAAATTTAGATACTATGTTGATCATGGATGAAAGTTTATATAAGCTTATTTGTCATCAAAACTAGATATCCAATATGGCACATATGATGTTCAAGGAAGAACTGCTAAATTACCCAACCACACAGGGGAGACTTATGTCCTGACACAGTCTCTCATTTGAGCATAGATGTGGAAGCCAAATGGAAATAATTTTAAAAATGTAGCAACCAATATATACCAAGACAATCAACTGGGAACTTTTCAAAAAAATCCAGTTTTATTCATTATGGGAGACACATTATTTTTTTGGAAAGGGTTTTTTTTTATTTGTGTTGCAAAGTAATTTTGTTCAAAAAGAAGGATTAGGCCAACTTCCCAACACATTATTAATATGTAAATTATAAAATATTGCACAGTGTTCAACTGCCATGCTATGAAAATTAGACTGTTACTTAAATTATGAACATGTAGATTTTGACTGTAAATATATGGACACGAATACTTAAGCAGTGATGGAAATAAGGCCTAAAAGAATTAAGGCTTGAAAAGAAGATTTTTTAAATAAGGTTTTAAGAGTTTTAAGAGTGCAAAAACTTGATTGAAAATTGGAATTACAGGTCTGCTCTTCACTGGAAAAAGTGTGGAAGTCCTTTTGGATACCACTTGAGTTGCGGAATCTGGTAATTTCATACTGGAGGTTACATTGCGTTAATATAAGCTTAAAGGAATGTGGAGCATTGCATGCCAGAACAAGTGCTTTTTCCTATTAGATTAATAAAAGGATCTATAGATTTTAAAATTTAAGTGTGCCCCTCAACCCTTAATTTTGTTAATAGACCTTGCCAAATAACCCTAAATACCACAGAAGATTCAGAATCTGTTATCTTTAAATAATAACTACTTGTTGGCAAAACAATCATTTGCTAAATTGTATGAAATACTACTGTAAAAAACATTCTTTGAATCTGCAGATTCGAGCAATGATACTTTTGATAATTAACCTAAATAACAGAATTTCATTGTAATCTGTGGCCAAGCCTCTTGAGATACCACTTAAAATATTTAAGGTGGTGATTTTCAACTCTCTAAAGTTGTAATTTGGGGCAATGTGGGTTTGCTGTTATCAAAATTGCGCTACCCTTCACAATAGAATAAATTGTACATGCAAGTCTTTTGCCTTCATGCATAGTCAAATTTGCAGAGATGATGCAAATGCTACGTCTGATATTTTTTGTGACATGTATGCCTGTATTAAGAAAAAAATTATGACTGTAATTTTTAATTTTACAGAGGATTTATTTTTACATTTCTTTGAGGTGTTGACAATCAAGAGCTATACAATTTCAGTTAGAGATTATTTATTTTATTCTTGTGACCTTAATGTTTGACTCGGGGGTGAAACTTTGTGGGGATTTAGATCCTAGTCACTCCCAGGGGATCACCTATAGATTAAATAATAAACTCCACCCATTTGTTTCAATGTAGTAAGAAATCTTAAAGGCACTTTTATTCTTTACCTATACTTATAGACATGAAAACAAGCAATGAAATAAACAATTATTTTGAATTGCAAACTGATTGAACAATATCAAGGAGAAATTAGATGCTTGTCATTCTTGGGATTAACTAGTAGATTAAACCATAGACTCCACGCATTTTTTAATGCAGTAATTAACTAATCTTAAAAAAACTTCTCTTCTTTCAACTTTATGGTCATATAGACACGAAAACAATCAAATCTTTAGGTAACTAACTATTATGAATTGCATATTGACTGAACAACATCTATTCAACACTGGCGTGTAGTAGGAGTCAACAATGCTCACCTGAAAGGACAGCAAAAAACGATACTTAACTGATTCTTCATGCTAAACGTTGTTGTGAAGTTGTGATCTTAATTAAGACACTAAGAAAGCTTTCTTTCATAGCATTAATTGTTAATTTAGAAAAGTTTGAAATACCATGCAAGACTTTTTCCACGGCGTAACAATTTAAGTCTACGACCTGAGGTAAGAAACATTAACTTTCCATATATTTGCTTCTGCAGTCTCATCGTTATATGATACGATTACCATTGATGAAAAGTATCCCCGTCTTTACATTCGCTTAATGTAGATACCTACTAAACGGATTGTGAGCAAACATTGAATAAAACCAGGCGGTTGTTGATCAACAACCAAGAACAAAACGAATAACTGCGATTATCTTACCTTAAAGCTATTCTTAGTAGTTTGAATTAAATTTGTTCCTACTAAAGGTATTCCTACTGTGCATCTTAAAATGATATGTGTTTAACGCCACGTCTATTTTGGTATCAAATTGCGAACTCTCTGCAGAATTTCTCTCGCTAGTCTCAGGGCCTCTCTAGCGGCCTCAACTGAATATACATCTTTTGGAATCTGAGGAAAGCGCAGTCGATCTGGGTAGCGCATGTTTGTTGAATCGACCAATCGATTCTCCAGCTCAGTTGCAAGTTTCGACAGTTCGGAATCGTCCAGCCGTGAGGCATTTAGTCTGAGATCGTGACGATTTATCTTGAATGCGTCATCTGCATATTGCGCTGCTTTCAGAGCCTTCTCGGCACTCTAAAGGAAACAAAATCAATATATTTAATCTGAGAGGGAAAGATCATCCACCTCAAAAATACCTCTCTTGAGGACAATTTTTTTTTAAAACACGATATCAATGAAAAATACCCCTCTCTTTTTCAATAAGGTGCATCGGGATCATTCAGTTCGTTTATTTTGTTTGTTTTGTTCACCCCACATCTTCCTACCTTGTGAGAAAACAATATTAACGAGAAAATTTAATTCTCAATCCTCAGTTTCTGATTCCATTCCGTTGTAGCCGAGCTAGAACCTTTCTTTTTCATCTCCTAACCTCATCATTATTAACTTTAATTTTCAAGACTATAAGTAACAAGTGAATGAAATAAATCTTTTTCACCTGGTGACATTTAAAGCACGCCCACTCATAAGATGGGTTTCCACTAGATAAGTCATTACTGGCAGCTACCAGGTCAGCCTCGGCTTGTCTAAGCCATCGTCTAGCCTCACCAGGCTGAGGATTCTTCGTGCAAAAACTTGGGGGAACACCTGAAGATGAATCACCTCTCAGGGCTTCATCACTAGAGGTGTACATTCGTCGATAGTTCTTCCTGTAGTTTTCGCGATGCATATGTTGACGCTTGGCGCGTACTCTCCAGAAATCAAAAAACGGTTTGTAACAGCTTTGGCCATCTATTACGTCGCCTTGGATTCTTTCTAACCTTGCTATTTCTTCCTGGATGTGCTGTAAAACCTCGTTGCACAATGATTTTTCTCCAGGATTTTTGTCTGGATGCCATCTAAGGAACAGTCGCTTGACAATTTTCCTGCGCCTTTTTTCAGGTAGTTGCCATGCTTCAACCAGGATCTCTGTAGTCTGCTTAAAAATCATCTCTTTGTCTTTAGTGTTACCTTTCTCAAGCCCATCTGATAGGCCTAACGGAGAAGACTGGAGTCGGTGAAACTTATACAAGTCTGCAAACTCGACTTCTTGAGGCTCTTTGTCGTTGCCTACGTTGACCAAATAATACTTTGAAAGAAGGCTTCTGTTTTCTTGAGCATTTACTTCTTTTAATATCACGGCATAAATAAATGTTGCATCTCCTTCTCTCTGTTGCATGCTTGGATCCTCCATTTCATAACCAACAAACTCCCCTGGTGCGATTTTCTCAAACTCTTCGTTCAAGAGATGGTGGTCTTCTACTGGGATAAAACTTCCGGGAAGTGGTAGGGGATTGCTTCTGGACCCGTTGTATGTATCATCTTGCCTAATGTTCTTCCTATCCAACATGGACCCGATCTGACGGGGATCGATGCGTAACATCTCTTGAACAAACATCACTGCTTCTCCTAACAGTCCTTCGCATGCTTTAGCAATCACTTCCGTTACAGCCGAATATAATTCGAAGAAGTTTTCATCTACATCAGTTCTAACATAGACCTTCCAGATACTTTTGCCGTCTGTTGCTGAAACCTTGTTTACGAAGTGCGAAACTTCAACTTTGCTATCGGGAATGTGAACACCTTGACACACCAGTTTTGTTTCAATTCTGTTTAGTCCAAGGAATTCGATGCTTCTTAGTCTGTCTTTTATAGAAGCGAGAACATCTTCATTGAGAATTCGATTTTCGTTGTTCTCATGTCGAATAAGCCTCACAATTCCACGAAAGAACTGCTCTGAGCAAAGTTGTCTTTCCAGTGAAGCTGCGATACGAAGCTTAACTGCAGATTCACTGCCCTCTGAAGAGTCAACAAATTCCTCCGTAACCACCTGAGACAGCATCTGGGGTCGAAGGGAAGGTGGAAGGCGCATGAGAAGATCTTTGTAGTTTATGGATGAACTACTCTTTACACCTACCCTCTTTAAGTCAACAACGAATAGCTGATTGAATCTCCTTAACCGAGGAAGAAAATGAGGAGAATCATCAAATACCAGCTCAGAAGACTTTTGCAGAGAAACTGGAGG